TCCATCGATGGCGGAATGTGGGTGCATTTCAAACCCAGAGGTGACGCCCATTGACAATCGGTTGCACCTTCGCCAGTCAAGCACTGGCCTTGGCCTGCAAACACTAAGCAGAGGAGATCCAGGACGAAGTTGATCCCACAGGAGCATCTGTGATTGCAAGGCCGTTGGGAATTGCAATCATTGTTGTGTTGTTTGGTTGTTGGGATATGATGGGCTTGCTCAGCATTACCGTGTCAAAGAATGTTGAGGCTCCAAGGCACTCTTGGTTAAAGGCCGCTGGCGATTTTCGCCTTTTCTCTATTCAACTTCAGCTGTTTCTTCTTGTTCTCTATTATTTCCCTCGCGTGCATGCATCGGCGCTTCTTTGGATCGTTTCGCAGCAAAGTTGCCACAATCGCTGTCGGGAGTCCATGTTGTTCCTGAGAACGTCACCCAACCCGGCCAGGTTATTGAGAGGGCCATGTTGCGATTTTGGCAATGCAAGTACTCGGATTGTACTAGGGTTTGCACTCTGTTCATCCCTTGTGTGGATTCACCAGGGTTCGTTGGATCGTTTCATGATAGTCGCATTGTTCGTGCAGGTGCATAATGACCACCGTTTCACTGGGTGACTCACTTATGATTCAGCTGGTGACGGACTCACGTCTGACATGCATGCTGACTGTGTGAGATGGCCCGAGTATGCCACCACCGGTTAGAAAAAGAAAAAATCAAAAACAAGAACAAAAATTGGTCAAATGCTTGCGTTGATGGAAGTGATGATAGGAACAATTAAAATTTAAAATGGGGGCTCGTGGTGGTGGCGGTGCCGCCCTTTTCGTTGTCGCTTGGGGTGGCGCTGTGAGCCATGTGCCGAACAGACGGACAGCTTGTAAGGTTTGAAAACGGACAAGTTGTGAGAGTGTATCAGAATTTGTCTGCCTTTGCCTGTCGTGGAGGAATACGGGACGCGTAGAGCGCCGTACCATGAGCAGGAGGGCGAAAAGTGCACCGGAGGGTGGTGCTTCACGTCTCGAGGGACGTGGGGTGTGCGTGAGTGACGGCCCCCCTTGAGTGCAAAATGATTTGTTGTTTTGTGTGAGTGTGCTTGTGAGTTGCCTTGGTGTTGATGGCTATGTGCACCACTTTGGCGGTGTTGTTCGTATCTTTTTGTTTGTGGCTGGAATGGTAAGCAAATCTGGGTGGGATCTGTAGACATCTGTTTTGTGATTTTGCAAATCTTGACCAGTACTTTGCATTTTCGTGTCATTTCTGTTGTGAGCAGACTGTTGGTGAGAGAACTGGTCAGGAATACTGCTGAAGGTGAACAATGGCATGCTTTGAGCATTCATATGTTTTTGTGAATCGTTGCATGTGTTCATTGTAATCTGATGACCATTGATACTTGAAGTTTTCTACTATTATTGGTGGTGAAACGCAACCTAAGTGAGGTGCATTTGATGTCTGTCCAGCAGCATTTCCATTGCCCTAGTAGGGAGAATTATACAAAAAGCACTATTTAGTCATAGGTCGCTTTTATTCATTCCTGCCAGCTGACTTAGCCATTAAGCAAAATGGTTAGGCAGCAGTATCAGCACCACAATCGCTATCAGGAATCCATGTTGTTCCTAGAAGCGCTGCACAACCTTGCCAGGTTATGGGAGGACATCGTGTGTTGCGCTGTTGGCAATGCAAATACAGGGATTAAGGGGCGATACTAAGGCTTCTTGTTGTGCCAGATCTCAACTGAGCTATGCTAAGGCCTCTTCTCCTCTCCTCCAACATCAATGCTTGCATCAGTATCATCGTCCGTGCTGAATGAACGGGCTTTGGAGTCCTGGCCTTGTGTCCCGTTGCCAATTGGCTTCTAGGGAGGTCCACGGTGGTGACTAGGTCAATGGGCGATAGCCATGGACAACAAGATTTGAGCACGTGTTGCAGCCGCTGCACTGGCCTGGTGCATGCCGAAACGTGAATTTCAATCAAATTCATGTTCATATTCAATCCATGTTCATGCTAGAAAGCTGCACAGCATGCCGCAATGCCATGCGGGTGCCAGGTGCTGGGGAGTCTCAGTGAGCAATCGGCTTCAGCTTCGGCTCGATTTTGGCGCAGTTGCAGAATCTCTAGCATCACGGGCTGGCACCCCCTGCTTTTGTCAATGTTATGCATCAGAAAAGCGGGCGCCCTAACACCACCGTCAACTGAACCTATCTTTGTTTCAAAACGAGGCGTTTCTCTGCAGGACAAATCTCACCACTACATATTGATTGACGTGGTTTGAATGAAGCAAGATTGTTGGCTGTTCAGAGCACAATAGAACAACCCATCACGTTGCATGGCACGCGCGAATCGAAGCAGCACGATGTGGACGAGCATTCAAGCGTCTGTTTCCCGACAGGGCCACGGTTGGATAGCGGCCTGTCTGGTCTTTGAGCCAGAACCGCTCTTCCTGGGCTTTTGCAAGGAACATCGGTGAATCATCTCTTATTGCAATCTGCGCACGAGCCCCATAAAACATTTTCTAGGCACCTGCAAAAGGGCCACCTTCGTCACCGTGACGTAAGCAATCCGTGCGGCTCCATGCACATCTCCGAAATACATCCGACGCACTTAATTGTGCCTCTATCTGTCCAACCTTTACAGTGAAATCAATTGACAGCACGGCCTGGCCAGGGCCAAGTGGAAAAACTGATGTTGATTATATTGTGAGGATACTCTACATGTGCAAGGACGCATACGTATGCCAGGCGAATATGGGCAATGTGAGTAAGAGAACACTGGCCCCGCGTCCAATGCACAGGTGCATGCACCCGCGCCCCTGTCAAAGGCCACCTTTGCCTATTGGTTACCTTCATGTGCGATGGTCCTGGACATCCTAAACACCTCAGCCGTAGACGAGCTTGTCCGTTGCATCTGCTCCGTCCATTTTCAGCGCTTGGCTGGCTGCGTTTGGATACCAGGTCATACGAAGGCAAAATCAATGCACTTTCAATGCTTGGCGCTCAATGCAGCACATTCAAAATCAATTCCTGTGGCAGCAGCTTTATCCTTGGCCAGTGCATCAGGACCAGGCCGATGTACTCAACCACAGTGCGCAATGTTTCCTTCATGAGAATTGCCTGATACCAATCATTGCCGGATACGAAGGTCATGAAAGGCATTAGGGACCTACTGAAGCCCTACACACCAAGTACTCGAAAATGCCTTTCATGGCTCCATGACCTTCATGATTTCATGTCCGTAAATGAAGGGCATCGAGCATTTGTGACTTCCCTGCTAGTACGGGCTCCTTTGGGGCTGACCAAACATTCGCATATGAGGAACCCGGTGCCTTGCGGAAGGTATATTGCACACATATTTCGAACAACCTGGAATCTGCTGTGTAAGTTTGATTGGGCGCCTTGTTCTGACCGACTGCTAATACGCAATCGCCAGTCGCCCTTGACTGGATCATGCGACCTGTGTTGGTAAAATGGAAAAGTAAATGCCCTGGGACAGAGGCAATTGTGCCCATGTGTGACCGCTGGCTGCTGCCCCGTTGTTGTGGCCACTGTTCAGGGCTCTGTTGTCTTGCTGTTCCAACACGACAATGCGCGTTCAGCTGATAGACTAACCCAAACCCCCCAATTTAGCGATTTCCTTGTTTGGTGGGCCAGGCCGTTGGTGGTGCCACCACTGGTCGCTCGAGCAAAGAGAGCTCTCTTTGTGTCTGGACGCACAATCGGCGTTTGGCCCGTTGCTCAAGCGCGCAACAAATTGATCCTTCAGAGCATCTTTATCGGTGGGTGCTATTGTCCCAGCGGTGCCATTCGGCTACTCGAATAGCACCGCACGCCAAAAAAACATCATTAATGGTTGGGGAGCAATAGCACCCCAATAGCACCGCCGGTGCTATTCGGCGCCGAGCGGTGCTATTTTGAGCCCGAATATCACCGCTCGAGGCCAAATAGCACCCCAGAATAGCCCCGGTGCTATTCGCGCAGAACAATGTAGAGCTGCCGTGATGCTATTCAGTGTAGGAATAGCACCCTCTTGAAGGAAATGTCGTTGATGCGATTCAAACGGCTCCTTTTGGAGTGCACACGGGAAGCGCGAATCCACGATCGCCGATGCTTCAACGGCGTTGGCACACCACCAGACGCAAGGCCACACCACACACAAACCGCCGGGCTTACATATTTGTTCACCCTTCCCACAACAAAGAGCCTTGCCGACGATGGCAACGACCCACGCAACCGAACAGTTCGAATCTCCTTGCACCCACAGAACTTTCCCTTTCATGCGACAAGGACCATCATCCATCACCAACCAGCCATACCGCGCGCTTCAGAGATGCCCACTCATTGCCACAATACAACCCACTCTATAACACATATACTAAAGGTGCCCATACACTCAGTACAAATATGTACAAATCGCACACCATAATGCATAAATGATCCACCCAGTGAAACGGTGGTCATTATGCGGTGTTGCGAACAACCCACCATTGCGGATGCGCGCAGGGAAGCAACAGCACCGGTGCTATTTGGCAAATGCCACCTTAGGGAGGCGGCACGGCAGCCAATGAGAACCGTTCCTGGATAGCTCCGCCGGTGCAATAGCACCGACCGATAAAGATGCTCTTAGCAATCGAATCCCAGCGCCCCGCACCGGAAACCACCAATAGAGGCTGACAGCTTCAAACAAGGAGGGTGAGCGTCGATTGATGTCGTTCCGGAAGGGTCGAACGCAGGCTGACCTCATGCCCGCGTCAACACCTGGCTCAGGGAACCTGCAACTCATTTACCCACGTTGCTTACACAGGAGGCAGGCAGTACTGGCCTTGCGCCAATCCTGGGTCACACTTTGGGCATCTACACTGCACCTTGTGGCTCCGTGGATCCCGCCTGTGCCGCGGCCTCCGACCTCCCGGGTCATGTTGGTGGAGGTCGCCGACCGGACACGGCACGCCCTTCCAGCGTTGAAAACCAGCACCAAACCGCGCCGACAATTCGCCCACAGGCTACCCAGGGACGATGGACCTTCGCATTTTGAAGCAGCTGGCGGCTTTGGCCTTTCTGGCCGTCTTGGTGTTTCGCATCCTGCACAAATGGTGGTTTCGGGTCAAATACGACTGGCACCTGGTCCCGGGGCCTCAGGGGTACCCCCTTCTCGGGAATCTGCCTCAAACCGTCAGCTGGGACAAGCCGCGGGCGCACCTGAAGCTCACGGAGTGGGCGAAGGAGTACGGGAAGGTCATGAAGGTGGGGAGCAACTGCCGTCTGGCCGTGCCGTGCACGATCTGACGAGGGATCAATGTCCAAACTCTTGCGTATCTAGGTGTGAGTACTGCTGTGGAAAAAGAGATCGCGCCCGAAAAAAAAAATCACAGTGCCCATCGATGTGGTGTGGCAGGATCAAGTCAGTTTGAATTGTCGACACCGTGGCACCGTTCTCCCGATGTTGGGATGAAATGGATAAATCCCGCTTTCTTTCTTGTCGGTGCGCAGCCAACTGGTTGAATCGGACGCAGACAGCGGCGCTCGAAATTTTTTGCCTCATATGATGCAACTCTGTAGATTTGCAATGGACCGATCTGCCGACCCACACACCAGCCAGCCAGTGAAGACAGTGCACGCCCAGGTTCATAAGAGTCACTCCACATGACCACCCTGCTTCGCCACGTGCTGTGTTGTGTTTGCTCCCTTTGCCTGACCCTCTGTGCCCTTCCAGTTGGATGTGCCAGGGATTGGGCGCATTATGTATCTGATGGATCCGGAGTACATCCAGAACCACATCACTGGATATGGCGCGCATGGCCTCCCAAAGGACCCCGTCTACCATGGCTTTCGACTGGTGAGGAACCTCAGGGAGGCGGGAGAAAGTGCAGATAGTTACCATCAGTTGCCTTCAGGCCTGTAAACACACCACAACAAGCCCCTGCTGTGGGTGTTAAAAAACTGGTGCAGCACTGCCTGGCAACTTTGTGGCAATAGAAGAACTGGTTGTTGCTTTTCACCAACCTGCGATTCTATCCTACAGAAAGTAGTCCGGCATGCATCACACTTGGTCGATGTCAGTTCTAGCGTCTGCCCTGACTCACATGCCTTAACCGTGCACACAATCATGCCTATACTGCCAGCAATTTCCCTGTTGGACTTACCAACTGGCTCTTGCTAATAATGCAGGTGACAAAAATTTCCTTCTCAGAGTGTAACTGTTGTGTGAAATTGTTCCTGCCACATGGATCAGGCAGATGGTGTCTTCTGCCCTTCAACATCGGACATCTAAGGCTGCATTGCCACATATTTGTTGGCGTGCTGGCAGCCAAAGTCCATGCACTGCAATATTTCAAGAGTTTCGAATTCTGTTAACCCATGGTAATCCCCAGTTTCGAATACCCTGATCAGACAAGGTGGCACCCACAATGAAACAACCCTTGCTGACCCTTTGTGTTGTTTATCATCTGTTGCAGATCTACGGTCCACATGGCCGTGATAATATCGTCACCACAAGTGAAATGGATGACCGATGGAAAGCAACAAGGAAAGGTGCCTCCAAGGCGTTCAGCACAGAAGCCTTGAAGGCAGTGTTTCCACAGGTTCTGAAGAAGGTCGACGAGGTTGCGGAGATCATTAAATCCAGCGCTGCCAAGGAACCAGTAGACATCCAGCACCTTCTGAAACGCTTCTCTGTTGACACCATTGGACTCACAGCCTACAAAATCGACTTCAAAGCTCTGCAAGATGAGCAGTGCCCAGTGTTTGAAAGCCTTATGTACTGTAGCTCTGAAATGTTGGCTTCAATCGCAAACCCCTTGCGTGGCATTGTGAAGCGGTTCTTCCCTATGAGCAAGCTCGCCCAGGAGTGCAACAGGATGTACAGCCAGCTGCACAGCCAGTACGACTGGGTCCTGAAAGAGCTGAGGGGAAGGGGAGAGCCTGCAGCAGATGACCTATCAATTGGGGCTTGCCTGATGCGGCTGAAAGACCCAAAGTCGGGAGCACCACTGGACGATGCTTCGCTGGGGAGCGAAGTGGCAGCTTTCATCCAAGCAGGCTCAGACAGCACATCGCACACGACGATGTGGATTCTGTTTGTCATTGCTGCACTCCCAGAAGTGCAACAGAAAATCGTAGCAGAGATGAAAGACAAGAGTATGTTTGAACGCCTGAGCGACGGCAGCATCGGTAGATTTACATATTCTGATATTGCCAGTTTGAGTTATCTGACGATGGTGACGAAGGAAGCAATGCGGATGTTCCCAATTACACCTCTTGGAACTGCAAGGATCACAACCAGAGATGGAGAGCGGGTGTGTGGGTACAGGCTCCCCAAGGGCACAATGATTAGTGTTCCTTTCCATCCTCTCTACCATGTTCCTTGGCTGTTTGAAGAGCCTGAGCGCTTCCGCCCAGAGAGATGGTCCAACCAGGCACCTCAGGAAAAGCTGAACGGTGATGAATCCTGTGAGAAAAGGGGTGGTGCCCCACGCAGCTTCTGGTCCTTCAGTGATGGGCCGCGGGACTGTATCGGCCAGAGAATGGCCCTGATGGTGTTGCACACTGTTGTGGCCGTCCTGGTGGCGAAGTTCGAAATCAGGTATGTCCAGTTGAGCCATTTGACTTGAACACAATCGGTGCTATGTGCACATTTTCTGTGTGATATCAATGCAAGGGTATCTTGGAGTTGAGTGTTCTGACCCCCATCACTACGCAATGCACATTCCCTCCCACCTTGCAGTCCTATCACTGTGCAGTGCAAATCCATGTCACCATTCAATGCACAACGATGAAGATCAGAATGTGCAACTCCCAGACACATTTGCATGATATGGATGCAAGTACTGACCTGAGGCTGATACATTTCCTCATATTGCCAGCAGCAACCCATCTCATTGAATGAGCTTGCCATTGTGCATTAGGCCTTGGTATGAGTCACCCAGACCCCAATGCCCAGTCCTTCACTCTGGGCTCCTCAAGAAATGCTCAGATAAGGAGGTGAAAGCTTTTTGAAAAGACATTTTGTAGCCATATGAGACATGAGCTGGTCGAAAGGAGGCAGTCTCACACCAATTTGTGTGGACTGCAGACTTGCGGACAGGATGGGTGGTTGGGAGGGGACTACTGCCCGCCAGTACATCGGAATGTCTTTGTCCATCGATGGCGGAATGTGGGTGCATTTCAAACCCAGAGGTGACGCCCATTGACAATCGGTTGCACCTTCGCCAGTCAAGCACTGGCCTTGGCCTGCAAACACTAAGCAGAGGAGATCCAGGACGAGGTTGATCCCACAGGAGCATCTGTGACTGCAAGGATGTTGGGAATTGCAATTATTGTTGTGCTGTTTGGTTGTTGGGATATGATGGCTTTGCTCAGCATTACTGTGTCAAAGAATGTTGAGGCTCCAAGGCACTCTTGGTTAAAGGCCGCTGGCGATTTTCGCCTTTTCTCCATCCAACTTCAGCTGTTTCTTTTTGTTCTCTATTATTTCCCTCGCGTGCATGCATCGGCGCTTCTTTGGGTCGTTTCGCAGCAAAGTTGCCACAATCGCTGTCGGAAGTCCATGTTGTTCCTGAGAACGTCACCCAACCCGGCCAGGTTATTGAGAGGGCCATGTTTGCGATTTTGGCAATGCAAGTACTCGGATTGTACTAGGGTTTGCACTCTGTTCACCCTTGTGTGGATTCATCAGGGTGTGTGGGTCGTTTCATGATAGTCGCACCACAATCGCTGTCAGGAATCCATGTTGTTCCTGGAAGCGCTGCCCAACCTCGCCAGGTTATGGGAGGACGGTGTGTGTTGCGCTGTTGGCAATGCAAATACAGGGACTAAGGGGCGATACTAAGGCTTCTTGTTGCGCCAGATCTCAACTGAGCTACGCTCAGGCCTCTTCTCCTCTCCTCCAACGTCAATGCTTGCATCAGTATCATCGTCCGTGCTGAATAAACGGGCTTTGTAGGCCTGGCCTTGTGTCCCGTTGCCAATTGGCTTCCAGGGAGATCCACGGTGGTGACTAGGTCAATGAGCGGTAGCCATGGATAACAAGACTCGAGCACGTGTTGCAGCCGCTGCACTGGCCCGGCACATGCCGAAACGTTGAATTTCAATCAAATTCATGTTCATGTTCATGTTCATGTTTAATCCATGTTCATGCTAGAAAGCTGCGCAGCATGCCGCAATGCCATGCGGGTGCCAGGTGCTGGGGAGTCTCGGCGAGGAATCGGCTTCAGCTTCGGCTCGATTTTGGCGCAGTTGCAGAATCTCTAGCGCCACGGGCTGGAACCCCCTGCTTTTGTCAATGTTACGCATCAGAAAAGCGGGCGCCCTAACACCACTCTCAACTGAACCTGTCTTTGTTTCGAAACGAGGCGTTTCCCTGCAGGACAAATCTCACCACTACATGTTGATTGACGTGGTTTGAATGAAGCAAGATTGTTGGCTGTTCAGAGCACAACAGAACAACCCATCACGTTGCATGGCACGCGCGAATCGGAGGAGCACGATGTGGACGAGCATACAAGCGTCTGTTTCCCGACAGGGCCACGGTTGGATAGCGGCCTGTCTGGTCTTTGAGCCAGAACCGCGCTTCCTGAGCTTTTGCAAGGAAGATCAGTGAATCATCTCTTGTTGCAATCTGCGCACAAACCCCATGAAACATTTTCTAGGCGCCCGCAAAAGGGCCGCCTTCATCACCGTGATGTAAGCAATCCGTGCGGCTCCATGCACATCTCCGAAATACATCCGACGCGCTTGATTGTGCCTCTATCTGTCCAACCTTCGCAGTGAAATCGATTGACAGCACGGCCTGGCAAGGGCCAAGTGGAAAACTGATGTTGATTGTATTGTGAGGATACTCTACATGTGCAAGGAGGCATACGTATGCCAGGCGAATATGGGCAATGTGAGTAAGAGTACGTCCAATGCACAGGTGCATGCACTCGCGCCCCTGTCAAAGGCCACCTTTGCCTATTGGTTACCTACATGTGCGATGGTCCTGGAGATCCTGAACACCTCAGCCGTAGACGAGCTGTCCGTTGCATCTGCTCCGTCCATTTTCAGCGCTTGGCTGGCCGCGTTTGGGTACCAGGTCATTGGCCGCGTGTGGACGCACCTGACTTGGGCGAATGCTTGAGCGAAGTCCGAGTTGGGTTGGTGAACCTTTGGCAACATTCCATTTTGTCAAGCATACCATAGCCTTATCGGAGGCAGTGGTGTCGGACCTTGTAGCACATCCATGGGTCACAGATGATGATGTCCGACAACGTTTGCTTGTTGAAAGAGCTTGTTATGACGAGGATGTAATCAGTGGAATTGGGCAGACGATACTGGTAGAAAATGCGTTTCCGCGATGCTAAATGCGACATCATTTGGGCACCAAGTGCTGCATCACAGTGATTGCGATGGTATAAAATATCTGCGATGGCACCAATTGTTGCCACATAGCATCGTCGTTGGCATCGCAATAATGGCGTTTTCTACTGGTTTGATGATTGTCGACTTGTACTGTAGAATGTTAGACCCTTCCGCATTGGGGGCAATGTACCGTTACGCATTTTTTTATCCATCGCGCATCATGTCCCAAGGGCTCAAGCTATAGACGCTGCATACCAAGTTGCAGCAAACCGCATTAAGAATCCCAGCGATGCGCTGGCACAAGTAGAGGCGTGGATTGGCGCTGATTCATGGGCAGATTCGAACGGGCGAGATATTCGGCCGGTGGGGTGCACCCGCTGATGGATGCGGGGCTGGGTAGGAAGCTTTTAGAAGTAGGCGGGAAATCGAACGGTATCCCGGCAAGAGCGGTGCGGTGCGGCGAGGCCGGGGCGTTCAAATGTGCCTTCGATTTGGCGGTGAATCCGGGTCGCGACGGTGTTAGCGCATGCCTGCAATCACTTCCTGCGCTGCACGATGCCTTTCCCGCTTTTACCACCCGGGTGCCACTGTAATGGCAACCTCGTGCATTGCGGCTGGCCTCAAATTGCTAGTTTCCTCTGTGCAGTGACTAATATCCCCGTTTTAGGACAGCTTAGTACAAGGAAAAAAGTAAAGTACTGAACCTTATATCGCTTTTCCCAAAACAGAGTTTCATGCATCTCGGGCGGAAAGGCGCTGCAAGAAGTCCAGAGACCATGGCGTGATGCCTGGGGCCTGTTCAGCTTCGGAAAGGGCGAATTCCAGCCGCCTTTTGGGTGCAGCGCCGGCACCCAATGGCGCCGCGGGCTGCAGCGAACCCAGCTCCTCCTGGAGGGTTACTACTACAGTAGTGTATTGGCTGCTCCACATTTTTTTCCCGCATTGTTACAAATTTATTCACAGCTCCGCGAGAAAGGGTCCAGAGGTACATTGCAATGCAAAAGGGTTTAGTATTTTATGTTATGTGAACACTGGTTCCCCATGGACTCCTACGGGCGCAAATGACAGACAGTAAGGATTTCACGCTGTGCTCCACAAATCTTGCGACAGGCAGTAAAGGATAGACTGCAGAATGCACTGTCTGCTCAAATATGCAACATTGAATTGAACACCAAAAATCCTTTTGATTCCTTCACCACCATGCGCTGCCTCCCTGCTCGCCGTCAACGCACCATAAACTCTTCAGCATATTCACCCCTTGCCCCACGTTCACTTTGTTCACCATACCCACGTTTTTCTTGAGATGTCGTCACAATGATCACGATCGTCTCCCTTGCGGATGTCGGAGAGTGTGATGCGTCACACTCTCCCCGCGTCCTGAGAGGGTAGTGCCAACGGGGCGGTGAGGCGCAAGAAGCACCACCGGAGCCATCCCAGGGGCCCAGGGCGGTCGCCATGGACCTTGGTGCCGAGCAGGCAGCCGTGCTTGCCATCCTGGCGGCTTTTGTGCCGTGCATCCTGCACAAGTGGTGGCGACGCGTCAAGTACGACTGGCACCTCATCCTGGGCCCGCCTTGTGTACCCGCTCGTCGGCAATTTGCCACTGTTCCTCTCTTGGGAGAAGCCGCAACTGCAGGGCGGAAAAGCACGGAAGGAGCATGGAAAAGTTTGCAAGGCTGGTGCGCGGCGACGTGTACAGACTGTGGCTAGTCCAGGAGACAAAACAGATGTGGCGCTAAAGATGCCCCATGCACACCGCGAAGTCACTGCCGCAAATGGGGCCGACGCCCAGCTCCAGCCCTTGGGGTTTTTATTGCTTCGACGCAACAAGGCAATGTTTTCTTTGGCCTTGGGCGGTGTCCGCGGTGGTTGTGAGGTCATGGGCATCATCGGCACGTCATCCCTAGGGCCTGTTGCGTCGGCAATGCTCCGGTTTTCAATGCGAGCTTGTAGAGAAGCCATGTCTGCCGCCTATGGTCTCCCACAATCTTTCTGAGACGCTGTGCAGGTTGTTGGCCAGGAAATTTTTGGCTTCCGCCCTGGTCCCTAACGGAAAGCCCACTGGTTCTGGCACCCGATTACGTCACTGCGACGATGTTCGGCAGGCAAATTGGGTCGCAGCCAGGCAGTTCTTAGACCATTTTGTGCATGTAGTAGACACAATCTGCCGCCATCACCCTCCAAAATCCAGCTTGCGCCCGCTGGGGGCCTGCCTGTAAGTTTCTCTAATGTCATCTGTGATGCCAATCGCAGGTGGACCTGCCCAGAATCGGGCCAGTCTATATGTGACGGATCCGGAGTACATTCAGAACAATATCACCGGAAACGGCACCCACGGAAAGCCCAAGTCGCAAATCTACCAGGAATTTAACAAGGTATGCTCTGGAGGATGGTGTGAGCCACAGCGTCTTTGCCATGGACATTTCTTTGCCTTTCGTGCCTTGTCCTTTGGCTTTCATCTTTGTTGCTTGGAAATATTTTACTCCCACAGGATGAGACACAGACTTGTTGAGCACTGAACGGACATGCCCTCTGACTGATAATAACAGCAAGCATCGACAGCTCCCCTGGTCGACGATTCTTGCAAACAGATCACCATTAGGCTACCCTCCTGAATGAACATTGTGCAACCTGTTCTCTGATCAGAGAGCAGGGAAGGCCGCACAAGCTCTGTCTTGCAGTCTTTCGACAAAGACGGCAAGAAATCGCCAAAAGATGGAAAGGCAGGCTGCCCATTCCCCTGATGCAACTGGACAGCACAGTGCCCTGGGATCCACAGTATGGGAAGTGTTGAATGGAGTTTTGCACACTGTCACAAACGTGGCGATGCCCCAGCGCATGAGCTCATGAGGTA